CCATTCGATGATATAGTGCCTTAAGTTTGTTACAAAATGCTGAGGCTTGATCAGCCTAGACTACAACTTTTTAATTGTATTGTGTCCTCTGAAGGAGATGAGGAAGTATTTGAAATACTTGAGGCTGTTAGTGTTATGTTCATCTGGGAAAGCAGAAGCCAAGAAAGTAGAATTAAATACCCCAAACAATTCAGTTCATGACCTTTTCTTCAGTTTAGTGTATTATTAACAAAAGATGAAAAGCTTTTGAAACAGTTAATTTGGTTTAAAAAAAAAGGCAAAAGTTGCCCCCTCAGTTCTCCTTCCTAGCACTGTAGATTCAAGATTCAAGAATTCAAGATTCATGGAAGTTTAGGGCTGGAGGGGACCTTGTGAGATCATCGGGTCCAGCTCCCCTGCTTTGGGCAGGAACAACTGCTGGGGTCAAATAACGCCAGCAAGGTGCGCATCCAGTCTCCTTTTGAAGTTCTCCGAGGTAGGTGCCTGTGCCACCCCCGCTGGGAGTCTATTCCAGAGTCTGGTCACATGAACCATGCCTGTTAGAGACGAACAGGTCCACAGAGGCATGTGTTTTCATAAGCAACAGCCTTCTTTGTCACATGCTAGAAATGAAGTGGCAGAAAGACAAGATTTTATATAGAAGGAAAAGGGACAGAGGAGAAGACATTGCTAAGATTAGATTGTTTAGAACAGGGGTTTTCAACCGGGGGTCCACATACCTGTAGGGGTACTTGTGATGGCCTCAGGGAGTATTTGGCAGCACACTGGCACTTCTGCCGCTACGCCGCTGGCACAGTTGCTGATTGGCTGCAGGAGGACCCCTCCTGCTCGTTGACTGGCTGCTGCCCCCTGCTCATCTGGCCACTGGGGGACTCCTGCCTTCTCGACCAGCTGCCAGGGGTACACTGACCCAAAAAAGTTGAAAACCCCTGGTTTACATTCATTAACGTGAATATGACAGTTAACATCTTGAGGGACACTGGAGTTAAATGCTAGTCTAGATAATAAGATAAGAATCCATCGTCCCCTACTGAGACCATCGTTAGTACAATCCAGGCTGCGGATGATTTCTTGTTCTGCACTTCCATGTTCAAGTTGGTTTCTAAAGGTTCATTTAAGGACAGCTACTCTGAGGGCAGAGATGGAATGGCCAAGGTTAAAGTGCGCCACCACAGGTTTTTGTGCATTTCCAGAATTGATGTCCAATTGGTGTCTATTCATTCTTTCATGCCAATGTGGACAGCCAAGGGGCACTGTAAACAAGTGATGACTCTAGCAGGCCCAGGGGTGTCCTTGGGTGGCTTGCCACCCCCTGATGGTTAAACCTTGCTTGCTTGTCCTGATGACTTTCCAGTGACCTCATGTTTCCACCTGATGTGTCTTGATATTACTAACTGAAACAGCACTTCCCATAGCTACAGTCCATTTTTCCAGTCCTCACCAATTGCAGGCTCCTGCCAGGGGTGAGAGACTCAGCTCCAGTAATCATGAACAAAATAGTGGAGGCAACATTACTCAGCAATTGCGGAGGTGGCTGTAGAGTTGGCCACAAACTTTGTAACAGCTGAAAATGAAGGCCAGAAAGAGTAGAAGTTTTGGGAACAGGCCGAATAGAGAAGGCCCCGGTGTTCAAAGACAGACAGTTGCAAGAATAGAGGATGTTGTGTGTCAGAAATTGTGCAGCTCTCCCCATGGAGAATTTAGTGGAAAATGTTTCCACTGCAGAGGCCCAGGCCACAGAGGAAGTCTCCAAATTTGAAATAGCTGTGCGTAAGGACAAAGCAGGAGAGCTTGATGGAAACAAAAGTACTGCCATTATCAGGAATAATGTTCCTTATGGCTTGTAGGCTGACCTTTTGAGGGATGTGACATCCGTGGTAGCTAATATGATGTCATACTGGCTACAGGTTAGGTTCTCTAAACACTTAAAACCACTTTTAATTAATTACACCTTTGTAGTGCAAAACACACTTAAAAGAGCTGGCAGTGCTTAGTGGGGAATTCCTCCTGGCTAGAGAGTTCTCCATTAGTGGAAAGGAACCTGGGGCCAAGTTGCAAAAGGTTACAAACACAACCTCTTGTATAGTCAACAATCTGGCCCTCAGCATCTGTAACAATCTCTCCCTAACCTGTGTTTGAGATGCTGAGTTCTTTGGAACAGACTTTGCTTTTAACTTGTCTGTAAAGCTAATGATTCATGGATTCATAGAAGCTAGGGTCAGAAGGGACCTCAACAGATCATCGAGTCCGACCCCCTGCCCAGGCAGGAAAGTGCCTGGGCAGGAGAGAGTGCTGGGGTCAGATGACCCCAGCCTGATGCATATCCAGCCTTCTCTTAGAGACCCCCAAGGTAGGGGAGAGTACCACTTCCCTTGGAAGCCCATTCCAAATTTTGGCCACCCTTACCATGAAGAAGTTTTCCCTGATATCCAGCCTAAATCTGCTCTCTGTCAGTTTGTGACCATTGTTCCTTGTTACCCCAAGAGGGTAACAATCCCTTACTGCGTCCCCCAATGAATTTGTAGGCAGCCACCAGATTACCTCTCAGCCTTCTCTTGCGGAGGCTGAAGAAGTTCAGGTCCCTCAGTCTCTCCTCACAGGGCTTGTCCTGTAAGCCCCTAACCAGATGAGTGGCCCTCCTCTGGACTCTCTTGAGTCAATCAACATGCTTCTTGAAGTACGGTGCCCAAAACTGGATGCAGTACTCCAACTGCGGTTTGACCAGTGTCACATAGAGGGGAAGTATCTCCTCTTTGGTTCTTTTTGTCATGCATCTGCTGAAGAGTACAGGTCCAAGGACCAAACCCTGTGGGACCCCACTACCCACATCCTGCCAGGTCGATACCGACCCATCTACTACCATTCTCTGGGTGCAACTGCTAAGCCAATTTGCAACCCACCAGACTGTGTAAACATCTATGTCACAGCCTCTTAATTTATTTATGAGAATGGGATGAGATACCTTATTGACGTCCTTGTTAAAATCCAAGAAAATGACATCCACTTCTACTCCTGTGTCTAAGCGTTTTGTGACCCTGTCTTAAAATGAAACCAGACTGGTCAGGCATGATCTGCCTGCTACAAATCCATGCTGGTTTCCCTGATGCATTATTTTTCCCACTGGACTCCCACAGCTATGATCTTTCATAATCTTTTCAAAGATCTTTCCAAGGATGGAGGTAAGACTGACCGGCTAATAATTACTCAGATCCTCTTCCTCCCCTTCTTGAAAACAGGGACCACACTGGCCCTTTTCGAGTCCTCCGGGACCTGACCCAAGTGCCATGAGTGCTCAAACAGCCATGCCACTGGTTCTGCTATGACACTGGCCAATTCCTTCAGTACTCTCGGATGCAGCTCATCCGGACCTGCTGACTTGAAGACATCCAGTCCACCCAAGTGACTCTGCACCAAGTCAGCATCGACAGTCTGTGGGCTGGTGTCCCTCTGATGCCCATCTAAGAACCCATTAGGAGACATATCTTGTAGGCCTGTGCGAAGCAGCTCGTATTCGCTTTGGGTTCAAATTTGGCCAATTCGGGAGACAGTGATTTGATTTGGTGATTCAAATCACTGTCCTGATTCGATTTGGCCAAATCTGATTGGGAGATTCAGCTGCTGCCAAATCTTCGAATCAGGCAGGCCCATCCCCCTCCCACTCTCCCAGCCCGGCAGCCGTCTACCCCCGCTCCCTGCTATTTGGAAAAAAAAGCCCCAGTTCACCGGGTGCTGCCAGGCAGGGAGGCAGTCCCCGCTGCACCACATTGCCCCACGCTGCATGGGGGGCTTTGCACTAGCCCCCCCTCACTCCCCCAGCCCCCCCACAGGTGTCCTGCCCAGGCCAGCTCTGGCCCTTCAAGAAAAAAAAAAAAGAAAAAAACCCACACTCACTGCTCCTGCTGGCAGGGGGGTGGGGGGCAATCCCCGCTTCCCCCCATTGCCCCGCACTATGTGGGGGCCTCTGCATGCGCCCCCAAAGCCCCAAGGCCACCACAGGGCTTTTCTCCGTTTTTTTTTTCTTAAAGGGCCAGAGCTGCCCCCAGGTGGGGCACCCATGGGGGGCCTGGGGGAGTGAGGGTGAGGTTGGAGGGCTCATCCACAGACCCCCATGCAGTGTGGAGCAGTGGGGGGCAATGGGGATCGCCCTCCCACCTGGCAGCACCCAGTGAGCACTGGGGCTTTTTTTTAAAGTACTGAGCTGGAGCAGGCGGGGGCAGCCATGGGGGAACTGGTGGAGCAGGGGGGTCAGAGGGGCTGACAGCTGACCCACCCCTAGTACTTACCAGCTTGGAGTCTGGCTGCTGCTCCCTGCTGGGACTGCCCAAATCATCAAAGCTCTCTGAATCTTTTCCAAAGATTTGGAGAGCTCTGAATCAATTTAGACCTTTAAATTGGTCCCCTGACTCGATTCTGATTCGGAGATTCGGCCACCAAATCGAGCCAAATCTCCTCTGAATCGAATCACCACCCGAAGCTTCACACAGCCCTATTTTCTTGACCCCTGTTCAGGAACACCCAGACAAAAAGCTCATTGAATAGCTCAGCCTTGTCCCTCCCTGCCTGTCCCTAATTGCTCCTTCTTGTTCAGTAGGGGTCCTATGCTGCCCTGCGCCTTTCTTTTACTCCCTACATACCTATAAAAATACTTTTTGTTGTCTTTAATTTGTGTTGCCAGCCTCACCTCTGTAGTTGCTTTGGCTTTTCTAACTGCCTCCCTGCAAGTGCGGGCCAAATAGGTATACTCCTTCATGGTAGCTTCTCCCTGCTTCCACCACCTATATGCCTTCTTTTTTGCTGCTAGGCTCCCCTGGATTTCCCTGTTTAGCCAAGGAAGTTTTTTGGATCCTTTCCCCCTTTTCCCTCGTACTAGGATAGTCTCCCTCTGTGCCAGACAGTTGGGGGACCAGGAAGGGCTTAGCTACAGTCCTCTTTCAAGTCCTCCCATCTCTTAAAAAAACTAGCTGGTTTTTTTAAACCACCCTCCCCCAACATAAAACTCCTGCTCTAGGTGAGGATCAAACTCACAACCTCAGCATAGCTCACCCAAGTACTGTTATACAAGTACTATATGCTAACCAATTGCACCACTAGAGCAACCTTATCTTGGTTAACATTATATTGGTTAAGTTTATAATGGCAATATAAGCTTAACATTATATTGATGTTTTATAGTATTTATCATCATCATCAAGGTCATGCTGTGGCAGGCCTCCTGGAACTGGGATTCACTGGGCTTGTCTATATGTGGCACTTTTAAATTAGATTAGCTTAAAATCGCCATTTTTAAGGTGCATTAAGGGTGCATATCCACACGCATGTGCCCTTAATATGCCTTAAAAGTGGCGATTTTAGGATAATCCCACTTAAATTTGATACCTGCTTAAAGCAAGGAGCAAATTTTTAGCTGGCATAGCTAAGTCGCATTAGCCCTCATGTAGACATGTGCACTAATGCGACTTAGCTATGTCAGCCTAAATGTAATGCGCCTTAATGAGCATTAGTGCATCTACGTGTAAACACATGCCTAAATTGCCTTAATACGCCTTAATCAAAGGTGCATTAAATTTAGGCGCATGTAACTACACATGTAGACATGCCCACTGCAAAATATTAATTTCCCAGATAAGGCAACAGAAGTGTGTTAATAATGTGCTGCTGGCAGGATAGACTGGGCTCAGTTCACACAGGATCACTATTCTATTTTGTCTACACTAGATGTTACAAGCTTACACCACTGCAGCAAAATGCTTCCAGAATTTCCTTAAATCTTCTGGTTGTCCCAAGGAGATAACCAGATACTAAAGGGGTTTTGTTTTGTTTTGGTTTTTTGGTTTGTTTGTTTTTTTGGGGGGGAGGGGTTAAGTTCAGATTTGTTATGTATAAGTACCTCTTTTATTTCAATGGCCACATGTCTCAGCTTTCATTGGTACTCCCTGGTATGGCTTTGTTCACAAGCAATAAATCCATTAATATAGTTGTTCTACTGGAACTAAATACATGGAAAAATCCTTTGCTTTTTTTCCCATCACCAATGTAAAACAATTTAAGAACCAAAAAAAGGAGATCTGTGAAAGGGAGTCTGTACCACAAGCAACAAGCTGCCCAGAATTCTCTCCTCCTACGGGAGTGAGTTGAATTAATCTGATATCTTGGGGTCAGTTATCTACTGACTGTTGGGAACCTCAGTAAATCTCTATCCTATACTGACACACCCTCCCTGATCTTGATTGCTACTGCTCCTTCTCTTATGTATAATTCTTCAGGATATTTTTATGATTACCTTAAGCAAAGATTTTTTTTTAAACCTGAGTAACAGTAGCATGTATTCCAGTCTCCTGCATCTCTGCCAAGTTTGCTTCCAGGTAGTTTCTCAAATCACTATCACAATTGTAGCTAAGTGAACCGTGTGAACATTTAACCTATGCTCAGCATTGCCTTCAGTTTCATAGCTAGCTCCATATCAAGGATCAAACAAATCTTATTTAATGCTTCAGCTTCATATTTGAGATCTTTCAACATGTGTTATTTGGTGAAAATGTGTTTCTTGAACCATCTCTTAGCACCCTTTTTGTCTGCAGCTTGCTTGCCTCATTAAATCCATGGCTGCCCTACCCTGTTAATAGTGAAGGTTTGTTTCCATCCAGAGAAGCTGCAAGTAAAAGTCACTGTTTTGTTTTTACCTTTTTGATGTGGGATTTTTATTGCTGTGATTTTAAACAAAGCAGAGCTCTCTCTACTCTGGTGGCAAACCGATTAATAGAGAATACCATGTCATCTCTTCTGCAAATGCATCTTACTACGAGCCCCTTGATTACAATAGAGAAGAGCAGAGAGGAAGCAGTGGCAGTAGCAGGCATGCATGGGGTTCCTGAGCCAGGCTGCTGCGGGGTGGAAGTGAGAGGAGTCGGGTGCCATTAGAAGCAGAACTTTCTTTCCTCCAAAGAGGAACAGTTCCCTACTCCATTATGTGTTGCCAGCTTCTGTCAATGCATTGGGGGTCAGAGGTATGGCATGTCAGTTCTCTCAAGTTTAACCTCAAAATCTACTTCCATTTGTTTATTTTCAATTTCTTTTTTTAAAAGAATCCACCATACAAGGACTGAGTGTTTGTCAAATGTCTATATACAATGCCAGCCTTAGAGTTTCTTGCTTGCACATCTTGGCATATCCTGTTATTAATCATTCACCTGCAAATCTCCTCAGGGTTTACCTTTCTCACACATTCACTAAAGATGCCAGCAAATGAAAAAACACGAATGCATTTGTCTCTCAAAAGGCAAGTTTGAACACATTTAAAAACAACCGTTAACACCCGAGGAAGAAACATTATACAATATCACAGTGTCCCAGGTGAGACCTAACCAAACTGTATTGTCTCTTTATCCAGAATGTGTTTCCTCTCTTATTTGTAGAGGATGATGCATATAAATGGTATCCCCACAGGGGGGTAGAACAACCTCTGGGATTTATGCCTAACCTTAGAAAATCTCTCAAATCACTTTTCTGCTTCTTTAGCAGTAGTCAGATTTTAGTAAACTCCCCAAATAATGGAAAATAAAATAGATTTCCTTTCAGCCCGACTAAAAATTGTGCAGAGAGAAAGGATCAGAGGCAGAATTTGGTGCACCGACGACTGAAAAATGATCCAGTGCATTCCAGTGCAGTGAATCTGTTGTCTACCACGCAAATCCCAGAGGGGATATAATAAAAGTAGAGGCTGTTACTAAGAGCCAGACTTCTTACAAACATTCATTTGTCCTGAAACTCAGGTTTCAACACGCATGAAAAAGCAAACCCTATTTGGACGGGGCTTCCAGAGCCAAATGAATTAAACCTGTCTCAAGCTGAAGGGAATTTAAGAAATATTCATGTTTCACAGCAAAGTAATGATTCATTTCAGAGGAGCCTTGGAGCTTTTCAAAGAGTACCGGGATTTTTTAACATGAGACAATTTACTTTAAGGGATCCCTAAATCAGAAAAGTGAGCATTAAGGATATGACCTTCAAGGACAATCCTCTCTGCTGGTCCCCCAGTGCAATTAGCTGCATGTTGATGCATTTCACAGTTTGCTTAATTGCAGCCTATGCACTGCTATTGACACAGACTACAACTTCACTAAGAGGATCTAAGTGAGCATTGGACTCAGGACAGGAATGCAACTTGGAGACAGGAATGCAAATCATATAATATCAGAGACAGCTGCAATATTTCATGTCCATAATTGTTTAAGGATATCCCCTCTCCCACCTCTAAGTTATTTCAGGTGGGGCTGCTCACTCTGCCAATAATTAAGCTTGCCTGATACTTCTGAGTGAAAGACCCCTTTTTTTTTTTTTTTATTAAAGCTAAAACACTGCTACAATTAACCATTTAGAATGTAATTTTTACATATCAGGCCTCTATCAGGCTGAATTTTGGGGAAGGAAATTCAAGACAAATGGTTCCTTTATTTTTGAGAATGAGGTGAAGAGAAAATACTTTCAGGGGGGTTGTGTTAAAAAAGTCTGCACTCTTCCTTTTGCATACTTTGAGCAGCCCCATGATTTAATACTTGGAGCTTGGAAGCCCTTGGGTTTGGGATGTTTGATTTTTTTTCTGTCCTTGTGAAAATCCACCCACATTTGGCCACATGATAAAGCTTTGAAAAACTGTAGTTTACACATGCTCTCTAAAAACTGTGACTTGAGCAGCTATGATTTCTGAGGATCCCATCCCCACTGAGTGTACCTGAACTTCCCATGTGCACCATTTCCCAATAACAGCTGAGAGTGCTGCCCTTAGGAGCAAAAACTGTCATAGCCTTTGGAACCTGGATCAGGGAGCCTATATTTTCAATTACAGTCTAACTGGCACCAAGGGAACAGGGAGGAGGAAGGCGGCTGATGTCAATGCAGAGGGAACAGATGCCAAATGAGGGGGCGGGAAAAGAGTAGACTGGCACAAGGGGATAAGTAAGACTGGGATTTTAGCTTGTGGGAGAGAGTGCTTGCAACTAGCTAGGCAAGAAGAGTGGGGTAGAAGAAGAGATTTTTAAGAGTAGGTTAGCCAAATGTCTATTAGAGATAGCTTAGCTACACTTGATCTTATGTTGGGGTGGGGAAATGGGCTAGAAAATCTCTGAAGGTCCTTTCCAGCTCTGTTTTTGATGATTGCTGTGATCTGCTTCTGTTTAGTAGATTGTTTCATTTGTTCTACATATTTCTGCCTATCCTAGTCTGGCTTGCTGAAAACTCTAGCATGCAGTATGGCTCTATACCTGTTTAAAAGGTACAAAGCCTCACACCACTGTGGAATCAAGTTAAAAAAAAAAAAAAAGCTGAATGTAGGTTACAGCTCAAACTTCTTCCTGAAAGCAATTTTGCTGCAGGTATTTGAATTCCTTCTGCATTTGAAATCCTTGTGGACTTTCTAAAATTCTCCCACAACAGAAATGCTGACTGTATGTCTAGCACAGAGAAAGGCAACAGATGGCAGCTTATGTGGTAAGCTGTCTGACACTGAGTGGTGGAATATATTTGACCTCAGATTGTAAATGGTGTAAGAACAAATAAATTAAAACCACTTGAAATGCCTCTGGTCCATCACAGTATAAAAAGTGAAGCCAGAGCAATTCACTTCTCCCAAGACTGCATTCCAGCAGAAAGGTGTTCCCTGCAACCAGCTATTCTACTATAGCTCCAGCATAGATTCCCAAATAATGGGCTTTTAGAAACAATTACACAATGCATTCACCCTGTCAGCACTATAAAACCAGCTTCAAGAAGTCTGCTTATATGGCCCTGAAATTACTTATTCAATGCTCCAGCTGTGAAGGAACATAGCTGTGATGGCTATGTTGCAGCAGTGGGCAAATCTCAGCAGTTCAAGTGCTTATTTGGATTGTGTTCAAAACTGCACTTATCTCAACATGTAATGAAGGCAAGGTTGGGCTGGGCACAGGGAGTGATTTGCAGACACTTCCTTTCTTTTCTTTATTCTTTGGAATAGTATAATATGTTTTGGAAGTATCTTAGAAGCTACTTTCTGTGTGGTATATTGTGCTCTATGTTTCCTGTCAGAAGCATAGTGTCACAGAGACCTTTTTAATATCTGA